CCTGGACCCAACACCAATTCGTGACCTGACAGTGTCACAAATAGGTTATAAAAATATGCTCATCTGACGATAATTTAATGTAATAAACCCCTGAGCTTCTTGGGGCTCCGCCCTCTGGACCCAAATCCAATTTTGTGTCGTGCCAGTGTCACAAAAAAATATAAAAATATGCTCACCTGACCATTATTTATTGCCCCAAACCCCTGAGCTTCCGGGGACTCCGCCCCCTGGACCCAACACCAAATTGTGTCCTGCCAGTGTCACAAATAAGGTATAAAAACATGCTCATCTGACCGTTATTAATTGCCCAAAACCCGTGGGATTCCGGGGCTCCGCCCCCTTGACCCCAGACCAATTCATGACCTGCCAGTGTCGCAAATAAGGTATAAAATGTCCACATCTGACTATAATTTAATGTATAAAACCCCTGAGCTTCTGAGGGCTCCTCCCTGCGAAAAAACACGTGTAAAAACACGTTAATTTTATCCTTTTTTGGAGATAGGCCCCCCCCCCCCCTGGCGTTCAAGGGATGCGATTTTTCAAATTTTCGAGGGCCAAAAAAAAAGAGTGCTCACTACCCCTCACTGCTCGAAATTTCTTTTCGGCATGCCATGGTCCTTCGCTGATATAAAGTGCCAACTTCCAAATAAAACTATGCTGTGTTCGACCAATGCACAGGTTCGAGAGTTGTGATTGGTTATTGGTGATGGTTATTAAGTGGGTAAGGGAGAACACTTCTGATCTATTCTATCTATCTATTATTCCTATGCAAATAACTTGAATAAATCATATTACTGAGCCCAGGAGCGGATCCAGTATTTCTTGGGGGGGGGGGGGCAAATTTGAAATCATGCGAGCCAAATATTGGTACGTAATGATAAAGTAGTAGCGTAATGAGCAAATAAGCGTGTGGAGGGGGGGGGGGGGGGGGTAGAAAAAGATCCGCATCACCACCACTCTTACATGCAGGCCCAATCAGGTAGAGCGTAGCGTAAATTGGTATGGGGACTAGGGGCAAACTCCCGGAATCTCAAGTGTTTTAGGCATTTAATTACGGTCAGATGAGCTTATTTTGATACCTTAATTTTATGACACTGGCAGGTCAATAATCAGCGTGCATTCCCGGGGGCGGAGCCACTGGAAGCTCAGGGGTTGTACGGTCAGATGAGCATCGAGCCCCCCTAGGGTCCTAGGTGGAATCCAGGGGACAGGGATTTCAATATACTTTTTGATACACTTGAATATAGAATTAGATGCTGCTTCTATAAAGTATCGCGGCTTGCATGGTGATATATACAGTATGCTCCCTCTCTCTCTCTCTCTCTCTCTCACACATGGTGCTACCGCAAGCCTACTGTATATAGAATTGGTACAAATAGTTTTAAAGTACATTGTGTACACGATTCGTGAAGTCATTTTTTAATGAATTTTATAAATGAGACAATAGGATAGAAACCAAAAGAACAAGAATTGAGGGAGAGAGAGAGAGAGAGAGAGAGAGATATTTATTTATTTATTTTTATTTTTTTATTTTTTTTGTGTTTTAAATTGTGATTCTTGATGATTTGTTTAATAAAAACATAAATATTAAAAAAAAAAAAAAAAAAAAAACATATCTTCTTCTTCTTCTTCTCCTTCTTCTTCTTTCTTCTTCTTCTTCTTCTTCTTCTTCTTCTTCTTCTTCTTCTTCTTCTTCTTCTTCTTCTTCTTCTTCTTCTTCTTCTTCTTCTTCTTCTTCTTCTTCTTCTTCTTCTTCTTCTTCTTCTTCTTCTTCTTCTTCTTCTTCTTCTTCTTCTTCTTCTTCTTCTAATTCTAATTCTTCTTCTTCTTGGCTGCATGGTAATGGCACGAAAACGATGAGTTGAGAAGGAATCTCCCAATCATGTGCGTGAATTTCTCTTCCAGATTGATCAACTTGGATTCATAACAACCTCGGTGGCTTAAAAATCAAAAGATTTCAGCAAAAGCAAAAGTAGTTAGTTAAATAGAAAAGTATAGTAGAAGTGTCTCGATTATTAAAGCTAATTAGGCTATCCCTGGAATTCTCGGATCTAGATAATGTGTTACTACAGTTCGTGTGCGTGCTTAGAGTTACCACTCTCTCCGTATTAAAACTCTCTGCTCGCTCTTATAATCTGTCTAGCTAGCTAGTAGCATTTTTGGCATGCACAGCGCGCGCGCGCGCGATCGTGAAATACGAAAACTACCGCTCGCTGCGCTTTCTACATGTGGCGTCGAATTGGCTTAATAATTTTGTGCTGGCTCTGGACAGATTCAGGAAACTATCGTCAAAAATTGGATTCCGGTTGGAATACAACTGCAACTGAATTGACACACAGGTGTGTATTCTGCTGGTATCAATAGGCTGCTAGCTGGGCGGGGCCGGGGGCGGGGCCGGGGGCGGGGCGCGATTAGGCCTACTATTACTTTAGTGCATATTGGTAGGCTGATACTCCAGGCTGATACTGCACTGGTAACTCTAGGGAGCTCCGACGTCGGCGTCGGAGCTCCCTGGGGTTAGTGCACACTGGTAATACTAGAGGGACTTATGGATTTGCACGTCGACATATAGTGGACTCCTACGTGTGACGTCCTTTTATATTTTAAGGCACTGGCAGTGCCTTAAAAGGATGTGACACGTAGCAGTCCACTATGTTGATGTGCAAATCTAACACTAACAGTCCCTTATAATTAAAGAAGACCTCGCTCCAAGCTCGAGAGAGAGCTCGACAGGGCATCATTTGAATGATAAAAACAATGAATTACAACTGATCTTGTTATCCTCAATATTAAACATGTTTGAGAATATAAAATATAAAATGACCAATTTATTGTACTATCTATAGCAGCTGATCTATAGAATAGAATTTCAATAATGCCAATAACTTACAGGTGTATATTTTAATTAATATAAGATAATTATCTTTGATTGCTAAACCAGACAGACAGATGGACACGTTCTACTTGGACCATATTCTTATAAATAGTGATTAGTGTACACGCTGCACACGAACTCGGCTACCCACACACTGAGTCAACTATCTGCAAGAATCTTCTAACTTCAAAATGAGGCAGATGCTCTTACAGATATTCCTCAGGGAGAAGAGGATGATTTGGGGAAGGGAAATTGCCTGCCCATCCTGTCCTAGCTAGCTTAACTAGGTTTGGGTATGACTCATACAGACCTATACAGATACATGTACGTACATTGTAGACCTTGTAGGGATTTTCGGTTTTATATACAAAGAGCATTGTTTTGACAGACAAAGTATTGATTTGGAATTTCCTGAAATCATCTTGACTTTTATAGCATTGTGTTTATATCACGATTACGTTTTCTCATTATTTCATGTATTGTATTATATTTCATTCCTTACAGATTGTTTAGAGACTGTCACATAGAAACATCATGCCTGAGTTTTCCAGCAACAACTTTGTTCTTGGTGGTCTAGTAGCGTGTGCTGTAGGTGTGTTAGGTATCTCATATCTCTTACGTAGAGACAGACGCAAGTTCACTCAGGTTGGAGTAGTGTCTAAACTCTTTGTCCATCCTATCAAGTCATGCAGAGGGTTGGAGGTTTCTCAGGCCGAGTGTGTTGCTCTTGGGATGAGGAGTGATGGAGTCATGGACAGGTGAGATTGCATTTTATAACTTGTCTTTCACTTGCCTTAGGTCCTGTTTTTTCTTTCTTTGCTGCTTCTGCCTCCCCTTCCGTTGTATTACAAAGAGGTGGGATTTTTTGTTGTCATTTTTATTTTACATGGAATCAAAACTGCATGTGTTTGTTCAAGTTACTTCTGTTTCACATTTTCATACTACTATTTTCATGCTGCTTTAGGCGCATTCTTTGCTAAAGTGTTCAAAGAGCAATAATAAGTCCCTGGCAGTCCCAAACGGTTTTAGCATTGTTTTGCCCGATAGATGTGTTTTTATTAAGTTGACTTATTCTCAGGACTGAGGAGTCATTTTTTTTAGTGCTTAAATGTATGGGGTCAAAGGCTGCGGAAAACCTAGGAATTTGCTATCACTCAAGCACACTGTACAGTACGAGAGCAATGTTATTTATTAATTTATTTACGTTGTTTAATTCAATTTCAGATGTTTTGTCATCGTAGGTCCTGAAGGCAGATTTGTGACCCAAAGACAGCAACCATCCATAGCTTTGATATCTCCGTCTCTCTCAGAAGACAGAGAGAGTTTATTGGTCAACGCTCCTGGAATGCCAACTCTCACATTATCTCTCAAAGACCAAAAGGGACCGGTCTGTAATGTCAGGTAAATACATTTATAAAAGTCTTAAATTAATATTTCCAGTATTTTTTTCTTTTACTTACAAATAACCCTATTGCATAAATGTAATGTAGCAAATAGCTTACTCTTTGCTATATTCTTATCTTGAAGTGCTATTAATATTCATTCCCAAGTGAAAATGTACCAAGACAAGAAGTATGATGACGTATCACATTAATGGAGGGTCCCACCACATAGTGGGTCAAACCTAGAATTAGTAGGTACTACTTGCGTGGGCCACATGTGAACTTTTTTTTTTTTGCCGGGGGGGGGGGGGGGGGGGGGTCAAGAGGTTTACAAATTTGCCCATGTATACTGGAGCCCTGTTGGTGTTGAGCCCTGATTTATGAAATTGATATGATGTATCATCAAGATCTCCATGTATAGAGTACTGGAACAGTAAGATATTTGACGCTTGGTATGTATGTAGGCCAAACTAGATGACATGTTTAGGAGCTCTCATGGAAAGGACAAGTCTCTCTGTTCTTAGCATGCTATTATTTTTCTCTCTTGCTATTCATTCTGTCTCTGCTACCCACCCCCCCCCCCCCCCCCCCCTCTGTCTTTCTCTCTCTCCCTCTCTCTCAGAATATTCAAGTTACCAGTTGAAGGTGAAGACTGTGGTCAAGCAGCCAGTGAATGGCTCAGCCAGTACCTAGGATCACCTGGCTATAAATTAGTACGCCATTCACAGAGATTCAAGGGAAAGATATTAAGAGATGACCCTACATGGGGAAGCAGAGCTAAGAGAGGAGAACAGGTGCGCTTTGTCTTTATTCAACACTTCATTCAATAGAATTGTCATACTTTGCATCAAAGACATTTCTGACTGTATGTGAAGGGAGAATGATTCCATTTTGAATTTCAATGATGTAGCATGTCTTTTTGGTCTTCTTGAAAGATGGATTTTAACTGAAAATAGCCTGAAAGTATGAAGTACTGTATGAAGTATTTTGGGAAGTAAATGAAGAGATCACATTTATTTAACTAGTTGTGTTGAACAGAGGTCTGAATGCAGATCAATATTCTATTTGCTGAATAAACACAGTCATTGTTATGTCTGTATGGAAGTGGTACATCAAACCTAGCTGTTGTAGGCATTATCTGCATATGGACTTTCATCTTTTGAAACTGTTTGCAAAGTCCATACACAAATTTCACCATGGCATTGCCTATATTGACTCTGGCTACTAGCTATTAAACTTTGTACTTCTTGACCCCATTGCATAAAACTTACCACTGATGGTAGCTGGGTCACCAATATTGCTATGATTTGAATTGAGTTTTAATATTTATTTCTTTTCAACGGTATAATGTGAAACACAATGTATATATGAATTATATATGTAACAATGATTTCAACATAGAGTATACAGTAAATAATTCAGATAATAGAAGGAGTCGAAAGCCTCCGAAAATCATAGCTTGTGTGGGGAACGCCCATAATAAGTTAACACAAGTTACTGAGAGCTAGAACACAGATAATATTATGAAAATTACATGTATAACAGAACGTTGATAGGTAAGAAAATATAGTAAATGGAGGTAAAACTGAGAAGAGAATTAAGTATTGGAAGGAAACATCACTCAACAGCTAATCAAGTCAAGGTTTCCATGGAAAATAGCATTAAATTTCATGGCTAAGTTTTATGCAACGGGCCCAGATCGATATAATCCCTTGTATTCTATATAATGTATGTAAAATCAAAATCCCCAAAATACCAATATCATTCATAAAATTATGCTTATTTAGCAAAAGAATTTGCTTAAATAAATAAGTAATAATTTCTGAAAATGTTCTCTTTGTAGGCGACTTATCAGGACCTTGCCCAAGTCAACATTTTGAGCGTTGCTTCCCTTGATAGCTTGAACTCTAAGTTAGACAAACCAGTGCAGATCAGAAACTTCAGACCAAATATTGTGGTGGAAGGAACCCCTGCATTCTATGAGGTGATTATTTAATTCTCGTGCTTATAAAGTCTCAGCAAGCAAAAGTCTGCAAAGTATTTGTCTGTCTGATATATTTATTTGTCCATCCCATAGTAATTTGTTCATCCCATATTTATTTATTTATTCATTTATTGTTCATGTATCTGTTTATTGATGTATGTATTTGTATATTCAATTAAGTAGTTAATTGATTTCCAGGAACATATCATTAAGCGATAACATACATAGACAATGATAGAATACATAAATGAGAACTAGAACACATGCAAAAGGAAGGACCCCCCCCCCCCCCCCACAGAAAAATGATTCAGAAAATTTAATGTTTTTTGTTCTTCCAACCCTGAGACCAGAAGCCATTGTGAAAGAAAAAAATGGGTCGTTTTGGGGTTATAAGTTAGAAGGGCTATTGTGATATTTCAAACGAGTGACAAAGGTCAACATTGTTTCCTTAAATATTGACTCTATTAATCTATTTGTTTTTATTTTTAGTTAATATTTTGAGAGAAGTAATAGGCAATTGGGTGTTTCTTGTGTGATTTTAAGGGATTACAGTATGAATCTTTAGTTTCATGTTAAAAAAGTGAATCATAAAATTGATGACTGATTGCTTTTACAGGACAAGTGGAAATATGTGCGTATTGGAGGAGATGCTGTACTGAGGACAACCCATCTATGTGGCAGGTAAAACATCAATATGTGCAGTAATAGGGGAAATATAATCAATAAATATACTTGTAAATTTGTCAAATGTAAAGTAAAGTTGTGAGATCATAAAAAGGACAAAAACAGACACAAAAGACACACAAAATTAAAACAAAATAGTATCAAATAGTTTATACACAAAGTAATATTTAAGGAGAGAAAAGGAAGAGAAGAGAAGGAAATATAGTACACAAAATATTGTAACTGTACTGACTGAACGGTAACCCATGTGCATCTTTTACAATAGTAGAAAAAAATCCATCCCATGCACATCCATGTCCCTTATCATGATCAATTTTGATTTTGCTCATCAACTTTTAGTTCTTATTGCAAAGATGTATATTCATGGGTGATGTTTCATAGCATGATTATCTGTCTTTCCTACGTCAACGTATTCTTTGGCCATCTACGTATCCGTGTACCCTCAATACATTCCTTCTAATTACTCTACTGTATGCTTGTACCAAATAGATGCCGTCAAACTACCGTTGATCCAGATACAGGAACATTCATTGAAAGTGGAGACCCACTGAAGACACTCAAGTCGTAAGCAGATTGTCATTTTAATACTTTTGTTAGCATGTTGTTAGCATATTTTGTATTCAATTCATAAACGTCATGATTGCGATAGTGAAGTTCATAGAAGCTGATATAAATGATCAATACAATGCAGTGCTTAAGGACACATAATTAGATATTGTCTTGAAATTAACAGCTTTCTATTTGAGATTTAATGTTATTTGTAGATTACATGATAGAAATGATAACAAAGTCTCACCAACAAAACTGATGCCAGACAGACAACGGACGGATTCAATAATTTCTTCAAAACAAGGTCAGAATTGGTTGGTTTGAAGTCCTGAGTTTGGAGTTGAGCTTGGAGTTGAGCTTGGAGTTGAGCTTGGAGTTTAGTTGGTGTTGTGATTGAGGTATTAGCAGGTACAATGTGTAACTGGTTTTATTTTCCTCCTCCCGGCCCTGATCTTCTCTCTTATCTTAGATATCGAATGGCGCCCTCTGGTGATCCCGATGGGAAACTCTATGGTACATCTCCTCTCTTTGGTACTCAGCTTGCCGTTGAGTCCCATGGCTCTATCAAGCTGGGAGATCCTGTCTTTGCCAGCATGGACTGATCTCAATATCCCAGTCATATCATTTTCATATTTGCAATTTACTTCCTGAAATAATCCTCAATCTTGATTTGTACGATACATGGCATTAATTATTATTTCATTATATGGCATTACTGCAGTCAGGAAGCAGAGATAGTCTATGGAGAAATGAATTTTATATAGAGTATGGAACAAAATCAAGACTAAACAATAGTTAATCACATATTAAGTATTGAGTGTCAGTTCTATTAACAGTTCGCATTTTCAAATTGGTATTCTGAATGGTCTTATTGGAACCTCATTGGTATATGAATATGATTATGATAACATTGCTATGAGTGTGTAAGGAGGCAAACATGTGTTTAAGACTGCCGGGGAGTTATTTTTCTTTTCTTTTTCTTTCCATTTTGATGGATTAAAATAATCAAATGGAATAAATCAAATATCAGTTGCATCAAGAAATAAATATAGATAAACAAACAATGAAAATGCAGCATACAACTTGGATACAGATCAAAAGTCATAATATTTTTCTTCCAGTTCATTTTTGTCCACATCTAAATAAAAGACGTAATTAGGATATTAGTGTATCTTGCTATAATTGTCTTCCATTTGTTATGACCCGTTAAACATTGCTCTAAAATCATTTTTTTTTGTCGCAAATTAAGATTGTACTCTTGATGTTGTTTATCATGTTTTGTTTAGTTCTCATTTCATGACAAATTAAGAATGCTCTTAATGTCATAGTGATTAAAAATACTCACTAGGTATACAGATGACATGGGTTTTGAATGCATCCCTTAATACCTATCTGCATGTAGTTGTGATGGAAAAAATAAATAACATAATGTTAATTAGTTAATGATCATGTTTGGATATGCTGTTATTCTTTGGATATGTAAATTTTACTTATAAAAATCTTTCCTTCTATCAACATTGAATTTAAAATTAGAGCTTTTATTTGTAATCTAATGTAAGGTTCATAAAACTTGTACTACATCACTACAAGAATGTAATTTCAACTAATATTTACGTATCAATATTGATATAGATAGTGAAAGGATATGTTAGTGTTTAGCTGGGGTTGGATGCATATTGCTTGTAAATTAAGTAGTTTAATGGGTTAGCTGTTTTAGTTTTACTAGTACATGTACCAACAATAGAACTCAAAAGAATCGGTACAAATACATCTATGCTTTATTTTTATTTTGTTTACCACTTTACATCTTTGAAATGCCCACTTTGCTGAACTGTTCATATCCCCACATTGGACTATTCAATTGTGCATAATTAGTTTAGTACAACGAGTAATGTGAGCGTTCAAGATGTTTGTTTTACCCGTAATAGCTGACTTGTCTCATCAGGTTGAGGGGCATTGCTATATTAAGCAAAGTAGTGCTCTCCGCATCATTTGATAAATCAATTAATGAGGCATTTTATGATTTATGTTTTTTAGCTTACTTATGAGCTGCACATGTACTCAAATGCATACATTGTATGGAAAGAACTTACTTGATCTATCATGGCTTAAATGTTTATTTTTATACAAGTATTGATGTTTAATAACTAATAAAGTAAAGAATAATTATATGGATTCTAGTAGCCCCTATATTTAGCATTTAATGCTGTATATTTTAGTTACATATACCTCATATATTAGTTACATATACCTCATACATATACCAAATTCGTAATTCTGTAATAAAAATAAATGGTGAAATACAATATGTCATTATATTGGTTCCTGGTATGTTGTTTTCAACACATTTTTTTTACTTAGTGAGAGGGATATTGATGAATGTTTTAAATGGCGTATTATAAATATTTTGCAACAATATCGGTGTGAGTTATTTTTTTGTTCGTTAGCTATTGTGCCAGGTCGTTAAATCAAACTTATAATTCACCAAGCATTCTGAACAAATGTTTTTGGTCAAAATTTTTGCTTCTTGTATCATGTTCTTGGGTCTCTATTATAAGTACACCCTTCATCAAAATTTCACAAAATATCAAAGACTTTTGTGTGATAAGCTAAGGTGTCTCTGTAGATTGAATTATGTTTGTGATTTTATGCAATTACATTTAGGCCTGTCAGGTAAGAAATATTTTTTTTTTATATGCACAGGCAAAAATACAGAGGTAACAATTAATGAATCATCCATAAAGAATTAGTACATTGCTTTTCCTGGTAAGTCTTGAATGATCTTTTTTTTCTTCTTAAATATGAAAATTCTCCTGTGGAAATTATATTTTGATGAATCCAAATATATATTGAAGAGTAATGTTTGAGAAGATGGATGTAAGGGAAACTACAAGAAAAAGCCTAAGGTCAGAAGTGGTTAACTCCTTGCCCAGAATTTGTTTAAATATATGAACACAATCACCTAATCCTTCATGGACATGGTAGGCTTAATGAGAGAGAGAGAGAGAGAGAGAGAGAGAGAGAGAGAGAGAGGGGGGCAGAGGAGGTGAAGGAGAGAGAGAGAGAGAACATTTGGTGGGGGGGGGGGGGGTAGAGAGAAAGAGGGGCCGGGGTGGTGATATTGATGCAGCAAAGGCAGTTGCCCTAGCTTACAATGGCTTAAAAAATCTGGAGAATCTAAAAAGGGAAAAACACAGATTAGAGGTCCTCTCGTTTAGTGGACGTGGCATCCAAACAAAACAAAGAAAATGTTGATCAATTTTCCCATGCTCTCCTTGAGTCATCATTTTTTATTTTTCTATTGGGGGGGGGGGGGGGGGGGGTTCCCCTCCATCACCAGAGCAAAAGGCCCACTGCACTACTTGTAGCTACTTGCACCCTCTATTTAACAAACAATGCCTAATCGGTGACCATTGGTCCCCCATGATCCTCTTTTTCTTATGTTAACTGAGAGCCGAGTTGATGAGATAACCACCTGTCCAGTGACCTTGCAGGGCGGTCTAATCCCTCTTGTAAACTACGGCAGATAAGCTTTAAGGTACTACGTCCCGTTTGCAGGCCAAATAAATGAAAAGGCCAAACTTTAAAAAAGGGCTTGAAAATGTCTTTGTGTGGAAAAATAAGGAACATTATTTGTTGAGTCGACTTTAGGGATTGCAATCCTTTTAGTAGATGTACCAAAGGGTGTACATTTTAAATCTACTGAATTTCCATTTACTCCACCAGAAGGCACACAATGGCTAGTTCCTATCTAGTTGAGTAAGTTAGTTAGGCTTCTCTATAGTTGGTAACTAGGGATTTTAGTTGGCTACAAGGTCCTAGTTGGCAACTAGCTTAAAAGGATTCAGGAATATCTGCCCTGGTTTTTTTTATTTTTATAGATTTGAACACTAAAAACGGCTTTCTGATGGTAGTTTTTATAAATGTGTAAACTATTACAGTACATTACACCTTTTCCATTTATTTTACTCTACTGTTTAGTGGTTAGGGAATGTGGTTGTTTTCTGAGCTTTACCATTTGAGGCTCAACGTTCTGATAAAGCGGATATAAATGATTTACACTTGTTTTGAAGTGTCCATGAATTCGGTGTTTGACTGTAATTGGCACTAAAGATCCTGAGATGGTGTAACAGTACCCCTGAGAAACTTTCCAGGATTGAAAGCAAAATCGTCAAAGTGTGCACTTAGATCTTCAAGCAGAACTATTCAAATTTTGAAAATATGAGTTACAAAATGCATCTAGGATGAAATGGGAGTTAAAATGTCATCATGTTAATGGAATGATATGCATAAACATAACCAATCTACACCACACCACACAACACAGAATTCTGAAAACTGAAAAGACTACTTAAAACAATAAATCAAATATATATATGTATGTCAATATATATATATAAACTTTATTGAATATTTCTTGCTACTCATTCATTGGAAATACTTTATTCATCAGATTTGTTTAAGATGACAAGCATAAATGTTCATATAAAATGTAAACTCTTGTATTTATATTGATAGCAAGTTTGCCATTAGCAGCTTTATAAAATTGATTTTATTTTGTCTACCTTTACTACAATTTACATAAATACTTGAAGCTTCTCCACATAACCTATCATTAAAGAAACGGAAAGACTTTGTAGATGCACTCAAATTATACATTGCTTGTGAATTATGAACGTTGTTATTTAGAATAACATAGAGATTACAAATAATAAAAAGCATCAATCTCTCATTAATCTTTCAAGAATGTTTGACATGGGCTACACTGAATACTGTACTAAGAATAACTTACTTCCATTCAAATTATAATAATAATAATAGTCTAGATTTACTAGGATCATACATCTCCCAAAACAAATTTTCAAATACGAAAATATATTTTTGCAAAGCATGTTATATAAGCGGATTGAACAAATTTCCGTCTGATTTATTTGATTTGAATCACACATGGATATCCGTTCCTCTTTAGTAATATGATGATCTGTGCAATAATATTTTTTTATTTTTGTAAATTTGCTTATGAAGGTGATTTCCCAGTTTACAATATCACTGAATATTAATGATTAAGGAGATAATTCAAGACAATCTTTTCATATAATCTAAAAAGAAAAGACATGACTATTGAATTATCCCTATCACAGCAAATCCCATTCAAGTGAATAACAATAGAAAAGGGAATAAGTATTACATGCGATTATTTCTTATTTTCAATTCAATGCAGTAAATTTCACTGTGCTAGTACTGTAACTCAGATTTAGCTGGCAATGCTTCATTTGAAGATCAAAGACTAATCAAAACTAAGTGTAAACTCAAATCACAGTCTACCGTCTCCTAAAGTAGGAGAAAGAGAGACACAAACACAAGATGAAGGAGATATGACGTTCTTGTAATGAGAAGGAGGAAGGGAGAGAAACATGCATGTAATATAGAATGGAAATGGCTTATATTTTCATAATCTGATAAGGCACTTTCTTAATTAAATACCACATTCACTTTACTCACATAATTAAGAAAGAATTTCAAACAGTACATTTTTAATGCAATTTTTTCGAATTATTCATTCAGAGAGAGATACAATTTTCAAAGGCTACCTTCGATTAATCCAAATAATATTTACAAACTATGATCTTGAATTAAGCCACTTCAGCCAGCTTGCACTATTAAAATATATAAAGAAAGAAAAAAGCCCAGAGCCAAGGGAATTATCATTATGTACATAAACAATATACTCTTTGGAGTAATTCCTAATATCTGTTGTTGACTAATGAAGCTAATGTTCTTTCAATGCATATCAACAACTAATATATATCAAAATTCAAGGTGTTTTCTAAACTCCTCTTAAAATGACAAGATTTGTTTTTCTCCTTCAAATTTCATTACTTTAGAAAATTTCTACATTTTTCTGGTGAGTTCAAATCAGTAGTCACTTTAATACTATGCAGTAAACTTTTTAAAACCATGAATAAATAGAATAAATTGATCGTAATCAGCCTTTAAAGATGTATTCTGTACTATATAGATATTCCAGTCACTCCAATATACCTATCATTGGAAATAAAGATTACCTTCAGCAAACAAATATCCACAAAAAATATACCTAGATATTACACAAACTCACTAGCTGCAGATACCAGGTGGTTCCAATGTTAAGTCTTGGGGAATGAGAGAATTGCAGCATCTTAACTACACTGATAATTATGATCCATTAGGCTTCTTGAAATAATTATTTCAAGGCATATTTGATAACCATACAACGCCACAAATTTGGACAGACATGTATCACATAGATCATTTTATGGGACCAGTTTACATGAATTTCAGGATAAAAATGCTCTTGTTTGTTCCATTTATTTTGGTGGTTGGAACTGCCTTTAGCATTGAAAAGATAAACAAGCACTACAGGCATGGAGGCATGGTGGATGGCTCAGTGGACAAGCACATTGGTCCTGGAACAGGAAGGTCCTGGGTTCATTGTAAACAGTCAGGTAAAACAAATATCAGTACCAATATCAAGCACTTGTATCTACAGTACTCACAAAAAACTAAAACACCAAATTCCCCTCCAATTCAACAACTTTTCAGTATTTATAAATGTAAGAATATAAGATTATCTATATTTATCCTTCTCCAAATGAAAAGGCTTTACAATGTTCTTGCACCAGGTTGCCATGCTCATGCACTTCTTTAGTGCCACAACATATTGAACAATTGTTTAACAAGTTTTGACTTATAATGCTTAGTTTTATTAAACGGAGCATTGTTATGTCTCATGACATAACGAGAAAAGGTTAAGATGATTTGCTTGAACCAAAACCCACTGTACAACCAACTGAACTACACATTTAACCAAAAGCATAAATAAAATATACAGCAATGGAAAAGTTACATTCATACCATTTATAATTCATTATTATCACTATCAAGTAGTGCAATTTCATCTTTTAAGTGAAAATATAAGCATTTGGTATCCAAACTACTATGTGAAATCATAGGAAATATAAAACCATAAATATATTCTCAATCAAAATATAAACCTGGGAAGTAATTGCAAGAATTATCTTCTGTTATCCCCGTTATCTGATAAATGACTTTGTGAAGTACATCCTTGAAGTTCTAATCTTCTGTTTTCTCAGTGCCCTCTGGTACAAGATGCTTGAGAACATCTTTGAAGAACATTCCTGAAGCCCCCAGACCAGGCTGATAACACTGATCCAACCAAACTGTCCTGTACTCCTCCATCATACTCAGCAATCTGGATCAGAAAAGACAAGAGTCACATATTAACTAGATGGAATTTTGACTGCGCGCAGTCGAAAATGATGCCTCCGCCATAGAGCAATTTAAACAAGTTTGGAGTTTAAATCTCCAGTGGTTCTTGAGATATCATGATAACAATCTCAATGTATGGAATTTCATAAGTTGACCTCTGTGACCCTTGACCTTTGACCTACGTGCTCCAAAATCTAATCAGATTGTCTTCCTATGGTGATACACACTATCATTAAGTTTGAAGTTTAAATCTCCAGTGGTTCTTGAGATATTATGATATGGTGATACATACTATCATTAAGTTTGAAGTGAAAATTCTCCAGTGGTTCTTGAGATATCGCGATAACGATCTCAATGTATGGAATTTCATAAGTTGACCTCTGTGACCCTTGACCTTTGACCTACGTGCTCCAAAATCTAATCAGATTGTCTTCCTATGGTGATACACACTATCATTAAGTTTGAAGTTTAAATCTCCAGTGGTTCTTGAGATATTATGATAACAATCTCAATGTATGGAATTTCATAAGTTGACCTCTGTGACCCTTGACCTTTGACCTACGTGCTCCAAAATCTAATCAGATCGTCTTCCTATGGTGATACATACTATCCTTAAGTTTGAAGTTTTTACATCTCCAGTGGTTCTTGAGATATCATGATAACAATCTCAATGTATGGAATTTCATAAGTTGACCTCTATGACCCTTGACCTTTGACCTACATGCTCCAAAATGTAATGAGATTGTTTTCCTATAGTGATACACACTATCACTAAGTTCGAAGTTTAAATCTCCAGTGGTTCTTGAGATATCATGATATGGTGATACATACTATCATTAAGTTTGAAGTGAAAATTCTCCAGTGGTTCTTGAGATATCGCGATAACGATCTCAATGTATGGAATTTCATAAGTTGACCTCTGTGACCCTTGACCTTTGACATACGTGCTCTAAAATCTAATCAGATCGTCTTCCTATGGTGATACATACTATCCTTAAGTTTGAAGTTTAAATCTCAAATGGTTCTTGAGATATCGCGCTAACAAACTCAATACAAGGAATTTCATAAGTTGACCTCTGTGACCTGTGACCTTTGACCTACGTACTCCAAAATCTAATCAGATCGTCTTCCTATGGTGATAAATACTATTCCCGAGTCTTAAGTTTAAATCTTAAATGGTTCTTGAGATATTGTGATAACGGTCAAACGGGACGGACGTACGGACGTACGGACGGACAACCCGAAAACATGATGCCTCCGGCACCACCTTCGGTGGCGGAGGCATAACAAAGTCCAAGTCATACTATAAGAGTTCTAATTATGACACCAAATAAATGGATATATATTTGATACCTTGTATGACTTCAATATCATAATGATTGACCCAATTTTTTTAAATTTCATTATGGTTGTAAGCAATTTCACACTCAAGTCCCAATAGTATTATCCCATAGGTTATGCTGCTTGAAAGAATCCCAACACATGATCTGATCTATACAAGTAGGTATTCCTGCACATACTGCCAGTAATCTGACCAGAAGAAGGAGACATATCTTGTTTGATCTCTACACCCTGTGTCACAATGCAGACTACATGATAAAAAGCTGGGCAAATATAAGGCAAAACGTACTGTAGGTATTTGCAATGACCTTATGACCTTGATCAACAGATTTTTGTTTTTTATTGACATTAGACCTAAAGACAACAAATCCCATGACTTCATTTTTCCAATACAAGATACACAGAGCTCTACAATTTAGAAGTTCATTCCTCATTAACAGATGGACATTCATGAACCACTCAAAATACAATGTTTTTCACAATGTATTTAGTAGTTAAAGCCCCACTGTACTACTTGTAGCAAATTGCTCCCTCTATATAGAAACATTTTCAAATCGGTGACCGTTGGTCCCCAATGATCCTCTTTTTCTTATTTTAATTGAGAGCTTAGTTGATGAGATAGCCACCTGTCAGTGACGACCCTGTATGGTCTAATCCCCCCTGAGCGAACTAGTACAGACAGCCTTTAAAGAGAATCAAAAAAATAAAGTGAGTGTGAATATGTGTGAGACTTACTTATTAGCTGAATCTGTCTTGGTGGTTGCAGATAGGTTGGCAAGTCCTACATTGATGACATTGAAACCACTCTGAGCATGATTGGGTTTCTTACCAGCAATCAATAAAGCTCGCACCATCCTACAAGAAAAAAGATTCACACATCAATGTTAATATTTACATTTATATTCGAAGAGCTGCAGCATACTAGCAAACAAACAAAAATCAAGACATCCTTTGTGTGCCATTGTAGCACATTCCTTCAAAGAGTGTTTAATGATTTACAATGTGTTTGGAATAAGAATGACCGTTTTATATCAATCCTGAAAACATAATAAGAAAAAGCATCACACCCTAATGATAAAACAAAATCAAAAATAAATGACAATACAAAATCTTACTCATGAATTTCAAATAAAACAATAATTCAAAAACTTGTTGGCACTAAAAGGATCTTCAATACATTCAATCACAAAAACTTTTGCCATCCTTAAACAACAAAAAAGAAGTTTCTAAGAGGCACAGTGAGCAATATTGCATAATAATAATAATTCATATTTATGATACAATGTTTAATTTCATGGTGTTGTCAATCTCTTGCACCCTTTCCCCACATTTGTTTTAAGCCTTTCCTGATATATACATTATATATAGCTTTATATTTTTTCAAGAACTTTTTTGCTCTCATAACTTTACTCGAAAGATAACTTTAGTGAATTCTAAGAACGCAAACTTGAAAACACAGCAGCAATTCATTTAAATCTGTATGCATTTACAATGACTAAGACTTACTTGCAAGCCCAGAACATCAAGTCTAGAGTGAGATGAACTTGTATGTAGACTCTTCTGTCTAGCTTGAGTTTATCCACAGCATTCACAGACGACTGACTCTTCCGTATCCTGCGCATAGCATTCTAGAAAGGAGAAGAAAACAATAAGATGATGTAAAGATAGGCTCCAATCTATTATCTAGAAAGGAGAAGGAAACAAATACCATCCACATCGATTCTTAAAATATTGCCAACATGTATACAGGATAACTTACGTTTATGATCTCAATTGTGATGAACTCCAGATCAATGTTGTCCGTCTCCTGAATGATTCGACAGAGGAAAGAGCCCTCTTTGGCAGGTATTATGACGGATTTGTCCGTGACAGGTAGATCTAGTTGATTGAGGGATGCCTTGGTGAGATAGGTATCAATACGACCCACCTCAAGGATAGCATCACCTAGAGGTGAGTCAGGATCCTGAAGGATGTGACGATTTATCAACGATGAAAGGTTGCCATGGAGAAAGTCCTGCAAAGAAAACAATACAAATAGATAACTAGATTTATCATTAGCACTTTAATGTACTATATACCTCTTTCAATAGAAACATCATTGCTTGGACTATGAAAGATTTAACGTCCATCTAAAATACATTAAAACATTGGAAGTTTTTGTTATCCGACTGCTGAGGAAGCCAGAATATGAGTGCAGATGGGCCACTAGGGCCCATAAGGTTTAATTTCTACTGAACGGTACTGAGGAATAATGCGATACGAAAGGAAAGCAAACCAGCAGGATCTCAACCTGTACAAGACGGCTAAATCACCTGACGATATTATCATCAGGCTATTCATGGATTAGGCCAATTACACTATATGGCAATGATTGCAAAATATAATGGCAAAAAAAAAAGATGCTTCAGGATAGCAAAATGTGTAAATCATGATTTTATCACATAAAGTAAGAACCCCATTGCAAGGTTATGCAGATGGTAAATACATGTACTATCTCAATCAGGATTAATATTACCTGGACTTTCATTTCGATGTCAAAAAAGAACTTTTAATTATCAAACACTACTGACTAACATATCGATTGCATTCTGCTAAGCTACCCAAAGCAGCATTCAAATAATAATGAGAAGAACTCACCAGAGAAGTAGATGCATTCCATGAAAGACCTGCTGCTGAGATGTATGCTGGCCAACTAAGTACTGGATGATTAGAGTATGTACAACCAGCCCAGTTAGTGAGCAAGAGACCTATAGCATTAGGGTTGGTGGTAGCTGTCTTGATGGCATGAGATATGTTACAGATCGACCCTTCAGGAGCACCACCCAAACTAAAGAAAAACAAAAATATAAAAAAAACAATCAAAAAGACATAAAACAACAGTATTAACTACACAATAATGATATTCCATAATCCATATACATACAATGTCTCTGAATTTATGATCGTACTACCCCATCCATAGTGATGATGGATGATAGCAACTCATAGTGCATCAAATAAACATGTCTTACTAAGTATCCATTTACTCCACCAGGGTAGAGAGAGGCAATACTGATAAATACTTTATCTAAGGATGGAATACTATGTTACGATTGAAACCTACAATTTCATAATTTAAACTCAAATTAATGAAGCACAATACCACAGTGCTCCAACAAACCATTCCAGCATTCACTCCATTTACCACACTGCTTGATAAAATCACACTTGATAATAATATTTTTAAAGCAAGTTTAAAAAGAACTTCCTTGTTTACTTAGAAAATCATTGAACATTAAATTCATAATTTGTATATATATTCTACTTTTACACAGAGATTAATTGATAGAGTCATTACAATTATTCTTTGATTGTCTTTTGGCCCAGTGGCATCCTGTCAAAGTGTGATGACTTGATAGTACAATGAAAAATGTAATGTATTATTTATATATTACATTAACATCATACATTCACTGTCTTCGGCAATAAACTATTGTGTGGAGATTATTGCAGAAACAAACCTACCTATTCCAGACACCTGTTCCAGGGCACACATAGAAACCTTGTCTGAAAGATGAAGAAGACAATAATAATAATAATAATAATAATAATAGTGGCTTCTTATATAGCACACATGTCCGTCACGTTGTGACGCTCCTGGCGCTGCCCTGATTATTACCCTGGCTTTAGCAAGGCAGCCAATGAGTTAGTAAACTGAATTTTATAGTAGCCTTTACATCTTGATTCAATGAGTTGAGTTAAAGAAAGTCTTCTAAATTCAATCCATACACCAAAAACTGATAAAATTTACAAATACATTTTCCGTCAAAAAGTTATACTGTATTTCAAAACCCAAATAGTGTACATGTATCTAATGTAGAACTCACCCGTTTCCTAGAAGCTTCTTTCCTGCTTTCTTAAAGTCAGAATTGCTCTGGAAAAAAGGACAAAACTATTGTGAATAATATGATAAAATACTGACACAAGCAAACACCCTCCAAACATTCTCAGTGAATATAATCATACCAATATCTGATTGTCTGTATCAAAGTCGTTGCAATAAAAAAAAGCATACAGTAAATGGATCATTACACAAATAACGTGATATAATAAGTGAGGATAATTAGGGCACTGATTCCAGGCATATTGTGAAACTATTTGTTTGATATGATATTAATGTATGGGAGTCATCACACAGGGATGAGGTGTCTTATACACCCCTGCCTCGGCATCCCATCTCAACCAATGGCTAAGTTACTCTCTCTGCTAATACAAGATGCTCAACTAATGATCTTTAAGTTCAGCAAGGTTTGTAAAAGCAGATTATGACCTAGTGATGATGGTCTGTATCATGATTCTCAGTTGGAACATGAAAAGAGACATATAAAATTAACGATACATCAAGCAATATTTTGCTTTTCCATGCATACACAAGCAATTCCTCTATTCAGGAAGAAAAACTAGATATCTTAAGCTATGGTCACAAAAGTTTGTACGAACAATAATTTTGTACGAATCTCCGTTTTTACATTGTCTTCCCGAATTTCCATTGTATGAAAATCGTTTGTACGGCGTTCGTAGCAGTTCGTAATGGTATTTGTGACTGATCTCATTCACATATACACACAGAAAGCAACCTACCTTAGAGCCATACCACATAGCTACACTTCCAATGGGAAGTTGTCTGAAGCTTGTCTCATAAACAGAGATGACGTTAGCACAGAAGAGAGGTGTTTGATTGCTTCCAATGCCTATCAGTCTCAGCTGATCCTGAATGCTTAGGATGAATGGTGAGGGTCTGGGAGCTTCCATCTCATCCTCTCTGGCTTCTAACAAACATCAAAACAACAAGAGCATTTCAGAACATCCCTCCAAATCACTTGAATAGGATTCTCATTAATCATATGTTCTTGTAAACATGTTTAATTTCTAACAATAGTTCTTGGACTAAGAAAATATGAATAAGGATAATACTGCAGTTAATACAACAGGAAACTTAGTTCTAGTTCAGCTTTTGTACACAAAAATGAACATTGCTTTTACTTTTATACAGATAATTATTCATCTTACCTAAATAGAAAACATAGAACAAATGCATATCTCTTATATTATAGGTTTATAAAAGATTTGAAGATTGTCCTTATGGCTCAAGAAACTTTTCATAAATAAACAACTTAGCCGCTTGGAAATATGTACCTTGTATTATACGAGTGAGGTGCGATGGCTCAGTGGTAGAGCAGTGGTCCATCGTTCGAAACCAATTTAATGAGCTAGTGACATTTGGTAAGGCATTTATCTTCATAACCAAGTCCCTCGGTCCCCTAGTTGTTTACTTACAAGCAAACACATGCTTTCTTAGCAGTCAGGTAAAACAAAACATCAAACCAACCAAACTTCAACCTTCATATTCTACTTATAATATAGTTAGTCTCTCAACTTTGTATGAGAGTGAATGATCTAGGCAAAGAAGACTTACCTTCTGCTTCAGTTGTAATCTCTCCCGTCTCCTCTGTCTTAGTTTCTGATGTTTCTTTCTTCAGAGTAGAATCAGATGTCTTCGACTGATCTGCTGAGCTATTATCATCTTGAGGTGTCTCTGGACGAGGGCTTGGAGGAGGAACGGAATCTAACAGTTTCCTAGTCAAATTGGGTCCAATATTCACAACCCTGCAACGAAAACAAAACAAAAGAATATATCTATATATATCTAAATATCTCTCCATGTAGCACATAGATTGAAATCACTTTAATTTTATAATGCCATACATCAGATCTGTAAGAACTTATGAGAACTTGTATTTTTTTTACTCAAAAGTATCTATGATCCAGCCTATAGATTTATACAATCTTATTGCTATAAATAACAGTCAAAATATTAAATGTCTTCATGAAATGAGATCTGCTCTTCAATAAAGATTTTCCATAGCTCAGTCTTTCATCTCTACTTAAAGAAATACACTATTCTCCTAATGCTAGAGATTTCTTGAGTCTTAACTTTGCTACAATCACTTGATGATTCCTTATATTACTCTCACCTGGTGGATCCAAATCTTGAGAGGACTTGTTGGAAGATAGAGAAGAGTGGAGGTGAAAGGTCACCACCTTCCATGAGATCAATGTGAGGAACCAGCTTGATGAACCTCCACTGACAAAACACTTCCAGGTCAAGCAACTCACTGCAAGAGGTCAACAGAGGTCAATATGTCAAGGTACTGAGGATCATTACAGACTGAAGATATCATGCATTAACAAATATATAAATATATACAATTCAGAGACCAATGGAAAGTATAATGACTAAATTAAAATGTAAATATTACATATTTATCTTACTTAAAGAAGTGTCTATAAAAATTGGCATATCTTTAAAGTAGTACAGTATATACAATTATTGGAGTGATTGAGAGGCCTTCTCAACATACAAATAAAGGTAGGCCAGTATCATACATTTTATGCAGTGTTGGGGAAAAGCATAGATATCTGATTTATAGTATTTCACTGAACACCAGAGAAATGTAAAGAAAAAAGATCAGTCATCTTTACGGACAAATACAAAATAAGATTGGGAGAATTGAAAACTTATATTCTGTACCACCTATGTCTGGATTTAAATGTTAGACTGTGAGATCATCTGGAATAAACATTCAGTGCATATTGGCATTCCAGTATTGTTCTATCAGTTGATCAAAATGAGCCAATAATTATTTACTTTGAAATAAAATTACCTTCCAGAGTATGGCATGGTGTCGTGTATAGGACTATCCTTGTATGCTTTCACGTACAGATGAAGCTATGGAGGAACAGCAAAAGAAAGAAAATTGTTTTCCATCATTAGTTGGTGTTGAACCATATACAGTACACAACAAAACCCATTGAGCTCAACTCCACACATACAAGGAGATATGTCTTAAAAAGTTACATTTGTGTTTACATGGTAATTTTCAAAAATGTTAACACAATGAATAAACTTTGATTTTGGTACATGTATTACACTTTTTTCTTTCCAAAAGATCCCAGCCATAGATATCGTAGGCTTAGTATTCTAAATATTAAAGGATGACATATCATGTTCAGAAGAGGGATATGTGATAATTATCATTCCATGTAGTAGTAATAGCTTACCTCGTTGTATTTCAGCTGAGCAAAACTATTCACAAGTTGAAGTAGAGTATCCTGGAATTGGAAAATGAACAACAACAACAAATAAAGAATTAATTACCGCCTCTATTTCATCTCTTATAAGTCTTATTTAAATTAGGCATACATATTATTCCAGGGCCCCATCTTACAAAGAGTTAGGATTGATCCAAATCAATCACAAGTCCTCCAATCAATCACAAGTTTGCAGTCTCCTATCTCTTATGTACATAGTTGTGATTGATATCAACTCTTAAAGACAGGGCCCTGGTAACCAAATCTCTAGTATTCACACTATTTACTCTGGCTCTAACCAGAAATAGTCCTTCCCTTCTTCTCAAAATTTGTGAAATTATTACATGAAATAATAGCAATCAAAGTATTCAGTACATGTTCTTTTCCTGCAAAATTCAACCACACAGTGTACACTGAAAAAAGATCAATAAAGCTATATAAATACCTATTAAAAGGAGTTTCTGTTTCATGATAGTTTTGATCACAAAAGTTTTGATATGTAAACAGACAGCATGTATCTTGAAAGTAAAGTGACTTACCATCCTTGGGACTCTGCCAGCAGACAAGTCTAACATGACAGCTCTATGCTTGATACTAGGCCAATCAGAGATCTACGATAGATACATAGAAATAACAACAACTTGATTAATATTCCCTTGGTCATCATCATCTTATATTGTGTATTATCTGTACTTATTCACTGTTAACTACACAGTTAGTTCATTGCTGGTCATACTATCATTATTACATGTCATTATTTGTTGGTCTCAATATCTGTTGCAGTGATGTGATGGACATTATATGAAAACTAATATTTCTCCTTAACAAATTATCCAAAGGAAACAGGTTGTCATGTTCACTTGTTTAATGTTATATCTTGGTTAAGTTGGATAAACCAATGTCACAAACTACACCTAGACCCCCGTTACACATGCGTCAGCTTTTAAAGCGGGCCCTGGAGGCGGCCTCACGCCTGCAATTTGAAGCCGCCTCGAGATCATCAAATCCCTGTTACACATGATCTTGGGCCCGCAATTTTACATCTACACATAGGCCGGCCTCACGCCGCCTTTTCACGAGTTGACGTTTGGACGGACTCCAGAAAGACAGAAAGAGAAAGTGATAGAATGATAAAAACAAAGAATAACATAAGGAAAGACAGAAAGAGAGAGTGATAGAATGATAAAAACAAAGAATAACATAAGAGAAGGTGGCAAAGGGCGCCCGATGTATTATGTTGATAATGATGACAGGTCACGTCACTTCCGCTTATAAGCCGGCCCCCGAGTCCACTTTGGTGTTACACCTACTGATTGCGGGACTGAGGCCAGCCTCAAACCACATCCAGAGGAGGACTGAGTCCACCTGACCTCAGTCCGGCCTCAGTCCGGCTTTTCAAAAAAAGTTGGTGTTACACAATTATAATACTAGAAATCCTGATAACTATTTTATTGAAAAATGTCCATCAACAAATTCCTTATTTACTTTTAGACACACTGGCCCGAAAATATGGAATTCCCTCCCCAAAGATATACGTGATACTGCTTTCTTAAACTCTTTTAAATCTAAACTAAAAAAATACTTCATCTGTTTTTAAATCTATAATAATATTTGCATGTTAATACGTCTCCTATGTTTTGTACACTGTTTTGTTATTGTTATACTTTTTATAGCCAATTGTTGGAAGTTGTATATGTATCTTTTAATAACAGGGAGCTGCCTCGACAGAACCTTATGGTTTTATTTGCAGTTTCCCCAATTCATTTCTATTGCTGTTTAACTTTTTATAATTCCGATATATTTGTAGACATATATGTTTCCATTTTGTGTGTATTTTGTGTTTTCTATATTGTATATAATCTGTATCTTATATGTTTTTTATGGACTTGAATTGAAATAAAACTTGAACTTGAACTATTTGGGCACATACGTCGAGCCGCCTCCGGGGCCGGCCTCAGTCCACTTTCAGACGTATGTGTAACAGGGGTCCTAGATGCCAACTACATTCAACAATGTTCCATAACACATTTATACATAATAATCACAACTCTTTGATAAACTAATCACATGAAGGCATCTGTAAAAACATAAAGAGGCCAAATTTGTTTTGGGAACTGCATGGGACTGTTCCATGTAATACTGTACATATCTTTTATTAGTGGTATTGAGATGACTTACTTCAAGCTGTGGAATGCCTTCCTTATGACAGAGCTGAACCAGCTGCACAAACGTACTTGTTGCATGCCATAGACCAGGAAGATCAGCAGCAACGATCGTCACCTAAATCAAGGGTTATGGAACAAAATGGATCAGTAAATCATTCACACATTGCTTAAAGGTAAAGACCAGTATTGGAAACGCCGCAATTTCAAAAAATGAAATGAAAGCGCTCATTACCAATCATGTGAAAGAATATGTTTTGACTAATACATGATGATAAAAAAATTGCCTGGAAACTGCCTACTAATTCATATATTTGGTAAATTTGTTTCTCTCATGGTCTGTGAGAGATATAGGGTAGTCCCATATACATCTTTCTGTGTATAGTGCTTGTAACTTTACAAAGAATGGGCCAAATTTCTTATCATTTTGATGATTCCAAAACCTTGCAGATGCTAGATGCTAGATGATCAACCTTTTCTGATCGATTCCACAACGTTTCTTTCACAATGCAATCACATGATCATAACTGGTCTATACCTTTAATCATAGGTATTCTTAGTATGACATTACTTCTATTAATAGTTTGAACTCATTTAAAAGAAAGCTTAAATTATATCTTATTTCTAATAATCTTACATCGTAAAAACACTCAATTACTCCACAGTGCAAATTTGTTTAGAGTTGTGCGGTCTACATGTATGTTTTTGTTTTTGCTTATGTTCTACTTTGATTTGTTTTGTTTTGTTGTTTTATGTTATTGTTTATTCAAATAAATATATCATTTGTATGATTCCTATACTGTTTTTTTTTCTGGTGGCTGTCCAGACAAACCCTCTAGGGTTTTTATACAGCAACCTAATTCCTATTTGTTTGTTTTTACTGTCAATATTGTACTATGTTAATCATATTTATGTAAAAGTAATATTTTGATGTCACTGTTTTTTTTTTTACTATGGAATTAAATAAATACTGAACTTGAACAATAATAGAATAATTAATAATTTACAGAAAAAGTATAATGCATATATTGTCTCTTATAGTAAAATTATCCTGTGAGTTGCATAAATCTAGTTGAATACTAATGACACTCCAGCAAGAATTTGATGAGAGAATTTCACAGAAATAAGAAGAATCAATCCATCATCTTATTCCATTGTTCACAAATACCACAAAACAACGAGAGAATATAAGTTTTATCCCAATCTTCCTTATTTATAATTTTGATACTATTATCGCGTTGTAACTCACCATCTTGTCAGTGACTGATATCCTATAGCTCTCTTCCCTCTTGAATGGTAGAGGGTTGATATTACAAACAACCTGAGCTGAGGGATCAAGACACACTACAGAATTCTCCAGCACACAACGATATCCTTTCTCCATCAAGACAGCTGATTGGATAGTCCAGAGGTCAACCATAGGTTCAAGGGTACCTGCCAAGGGTCAAATGAAACAACCACTATGTTACAGCCAGTACTGGTAGTTTATTTTGAATTGTTTCATTTACCATTTTTTTTACATTAAAACATCTTATGTAGTCAATCAATTCTGCTCTTAATTGTCAACACAAATCCATGGAAGATGCTGGATAGAAATATGATCAACCACTACTTCAAGAATTCAGCATTCTGGCATCATCTAAAGACTAAACAATCAAACAAACAAACACACAACAAAGTAGAACATAATACGACAATAAGCGAGGATCCTTATAGTCATTACCTGATTGTGGAATGGCTGCTAGCTGTACACTGAAATCTTGACTGAGAATAAATCTGTCTCCATTCTTCTGGATGACCTGCTGAGGTTGGGGCCAGAGGAAGGTCAGTCTAGGATCCACTTCAACATCCTCCTCCTCCTCCTCTTCTCCTTCTATCGTCTCAAGATCAATCTCAACCTCATCTTCCTCCTCATCCTCATCTTGGACTGATGATGATACTTGAGGACTGGCAGCCTGCTTAGTAAATATCAAATGAAAGGTATCCATGAGATATAAGATGGGCAAATTTTCTTGAGTTTTCTTGCCACCTATTATCAATACATTGGTCTTCTCTAGTACAAACAAGCTTAAAACCGACTTTGGTCTAAACATGTATTACTTTCTAAATATTCTACTACTTGAGATCACAATATACTGTAGAGAACATCGTATTTCATGTAATATCATGACAGGGAATAATTTTCCTGTTATCGCATCGCAATTCGCTATGCATTTTTGCATGACTGCTATACAAAATATCTTTTGTGTAGCAGTTTTCTTCCATAGAAATGTACAGAATTTCATTTGAAATATTTATCCATCACCTGAAATTGCTAATCAAAAAATTTGAGGAAAATTATTCCCTGCATGATGTAAGAGAGAGAGAGAGAGAGAGAGAGAGAGAGAGAGAGAGAGAGAGAGAGAGAGTATCATTTGTATCTTTGAGAAAGAATGAAGATTTCTGGTTGTTTTCACATTCACATTCTGACAATTCTTGGTTGAATGATAAACAGCTAAATTAAAACACAATGTACACACTGAGCCCAGCAACTGGTAGCAAGTTGTGAGAAACCAAAGTTGACTCTCATTGGACAATTGTTACAGTTTCTGATTTAACATTAAATAGATTGGTCCTTAATGGTTGATGTAACAGAGATTCTGATGTACCTTGTGTAAAGAAAGATTCTCAGTATTTGTATTGATTGTTTTATTCTCACCTCCGGTGTGGTAGTAGAATCATCCTTGACAGATGATTCCTTCTCCTCCTCAGCCTTCTCCTCCTCCTCTGTCTCCAAAGTGACTGAAAAGAAAGGCACATCTACACCTTCATAACACACAAACTGATAAAACACACATCTATGAAATATACATACCAAAATATATAAATGAAAGGAAAGGCTAATTAATGCTTCATTTGTTGGTAATTTATGATTTGGTGATTGAATTTGCCTGTCCCTAGAAACTGGACAATTTAATTGAAAGAGATCAGCAAAACTTTTGCTATTTGTATTGTGTGTTCATGTGTAGGTTGATTTGCAAAATGATAAAATTACTGCTTCACTGATGTCAATCATGTTTACAGGTTATCAAAACCAGAGATCTCTAAGAAATTACAATGAAGCATGTTCTCATTTAAAATTTACTATCACATTAAATTAGTTTCATATTCCTATAAAACCCTCTAAATGACACTTTAAAGCACTCCCATAACTTTTCTCTAACGATTACCAACATTTTCACCCACTTGTGACACAAACCTAAAATAAGAAGACTTTCTCTTGGTCTCCAGCCTTCCATTTCCTGGTGCTAACAATGTCATGATCGTAAAATGTGTCCTTAAGGGTTTTCTTTGCACATTTTTTTTTAAAGGCTAATAAAGACTAAAGTCCTAGCTTACTGTCAGCATCCTCGGACTGTTCTGTTGATACACCATTCTGTCCATTCTCTACATGTCCATTCATGATGACAGGAGGAGCTAAGACATCCTTCAGCTCTCGATTATCCTCGGCTAAATCTAAAGGACTCTTTCCTTCAGATTTACTAATCATGATCAAAATAAAAGACACAAAATAGATCATTTAATTGTTGAAGAGAATATAATGAAAACAAAAAAGTAGAAAGAAACGCAATGTCATTTCCAACATATTTGCTTTTCAAATTATAACAAATGTTAAAATGTTTTGATGTCTGAAGTGTAATACTATGATTTGTTTGTGTCATCAAGATCAACATTTCAATTGCATTTTCCATAACCATTAGCAATGGCATGATAGTTACCTCATTTCACAATTGATATATTTTAATTTCTCCACTAATAATGTGATTGTGTTTCACATCTCTTCTTAATTTGTCCATCATATTAAAACTTTAAATCAAATCTTGAAAAGTTAATGAAAGAGAAGTGCCTGTCCCTCTTACATCTTACACTAGTACAGGAAAACAGATATTGTAAAACATGAAACTGTCATGAGGAAAAATTTGCATAATACAAGAATTACAACTTTATTGAACAATTATTTCAAGGAATGTTAAACCTTTGTGAATCTCAACCCTTGCAAAGTTTCAAAGACATAAAAGTTTCTGGTTTAGGAGAAGATGGCTTAAAGATACGGACATCAATTAAGGTAATTAGATGTCACAGAACTGATTTGTTGTGATAACCAGCATTACTCACCCTCCTGTTGCTTTAGCATTGATGTCTGCACCATGTGCTACCAACTCCTTTACAATGTCTACATCCCCTCTCAGGACAGCATCATGTAAGGGTGTCGTCCCATCGGAATTGATCGCATTCACATCAGGGTTGTGCTCTATATCAACATTGACAACATATATCATGCTAATTATTCATTCTTAACGTCACAGAGGCATACAAATTGTATTTCATTTACTTTTTAGGTTACAATACTGACTAAAAGTGAAATCTTGATTAAAACTAACATCCATGTAAAACCATAAATGAAGTCTTCTAGAAAGTTTTATGTCAACTTCTGGACAACTCATAACAACAAACAAATTTTCAACAGAATTCAATCTAATTTCAGATATCTATCAAACAAAATTATTTTATTTCATTTAATAATCTGCTAAACTATAGGTACATTGTAATACTCCAATTATAATCTTAAAGGTATAAATTTCAGGCAGTACTTATTATTTCAGAATAAGATGTTTCCATCATTATTCAGAATCCCTTTAATCACACAGGACAAAAAGATGGTCAGTGGGTCATTAAATCCTTGGCAATGCTATAATTGCCTGTCAATTCACACAAGGGCATCTGGCAAGTGACCAGTAAACTACATGTATCACTCACAGCATTTCATATTTTCTATTCATATTTGCTCATTTCACTCCCACTGTGGCATCCTAGTTTGCCAAGTAATAAGCCTTAGATATAATGCATTGCAAATGGCTGTTCTTGAAACTAGGATTTACAGAATAAATCAAAATTGAGGATCTCTCACATTTGTGTCATATTAATATTTTTAAAAAAAATTATTTGCAATTTCGACTCATTAACAAATTCGCAATGCTTGAAAACAGATTTACTTATCATAATAAAGAAAAAACAAAAAACAACTTTGCTACTGAAACTGATTAATGAACTAGCAACAATTCAAATCTTTGAAACTGATCTTATTTCTAGCCTGGCTTACCTAATAGTATTTTAATGATATCTATTCCGGAGAAGCTAGCAGCCCAATGAAGAGCTGTGTTTCCTCCTGTAGCTTCATCTTTTTGGTTGATATCAAGACCACTGCTCAACAACGCCTTTACTTGCTCTGTCCTACAAGATAAAAGGACAAACAGACAATGTATTTGATATCAAGACCACTGCTTTTACAACTTGGTAAGTGTTATCCTAGCCAGCAAGATACAAACAGAGGAGAGCTACAGAGACATCGAGGGAAAGAGAGAAGAAAATGATCTGGATTCTGAAGAAACAAAACTATTACTAAGAACACAAGGAGAGGAACATTATGAGGAAAAAGAGTGTACTCAAGGTGAATTCTCAGTCTCTGTCTGAAGTCCAGAGAATAATGGAATCAATTCAAAGAACAAATATTATCCAAAACCTGCATGCAATGTATTCAATAACTTAGTTAAAGCCAACTTAAAGGTCTTCTTGAATTACAAGAATACCTTTCAAAATGGCAATAGATTTTGTAATGTTTCATACTTGTTCATGTTATATTGTAAAACAGTAGCTGAGGAACTAACACTTCAACAAGCTCTGCTTCAAGTTAGTTCCTCTTTTCTCGTGCTTTTTCTATTATATTTGTCGTTTCATTGCATACTTTTTGTGATATAATTATTCTTGCATATGTTTTGCATGAGAAATAAAATCATTTGAATCATTTGAATCATTACCATACTACATGTATAATATGAAACTGGAATTTATGAACTTGGCAGATTAATATGCCAAGACAATATGCACAATGGACTTTTATCCAATGGAAAAAAAAACTACTGTACATGGCCTTGGAACTAGTGACACAAACTGTGCTAAACATTTAAAATCAACAGCTGTATGATAAAAGAGTATTCTTACATTGTTATTATGTTAGGTACAGTACTATTCGTGGTGCTCAGCTTACCATAACAGTATCAATATTGTCTGCTTTTGAAATCATTGTCCACGTACGCAAAACAGATATTGAAATTCTACACTGCGCAGTACATCAAGATTTGCACTGTACAACATATGTACATACTGTATGTGCATATTACACATTGGTATGATCTATCCAAAAAGGTATACCGAAAAAATGTGGTCTCCTGAAATTAAGATGAAGAAAAGATATCGGTGTTGCGATGCCACTGATCATTAAAAATTGGTTCTTAACACTCGGTGGCATGACTTAGTGAGATAGGACTTGCTAAACTTAAATATTAACAAAAAATATCTCCTCCATTAATTTCAGGATCTCTTCTCAACTAATCTACATACATGTATATTAAAGTTAATTTGAGGTATAGGAGACTCTTCTACAATGATTGAGATCCCTGCTGATCCTAACAATGATATGGGACTTTGAAAAGTGCTGGTATTTATTTGCCTATATTTGAAAAGTCACTTTGAATTTATCCATACTCCTGTAGGCAGCAAAAGATTCATAGACTGTGGCCGGGTAGAGGAAGGTACAGGATGTAGTGATTAGTTGTATGATGTTATGAATATATATGCTAGGTATTGAGGGTAGATAGCAGATCACAAGGTCTGACAACGACTGTTCATGAACTTGAGAAAGCAGCGAAGGATCTACATGTATGGCCCAGCAGAAAATAATGGTGATTGCAAAAGTGCAAAAAGAAATTGAAAACTGTTAGCACACAGATCCATCACATTAATATCAAACAGCTTTAACTGTGGGCTCATTTATTGATTGGGTAAACATTCAATTATCGCCAGATGTTGCTTTGTTTGTACTGCGTGTGATTTGTTGAGATTCAAGAACTAATATCAGCAGTTCAGCACTCAGGACAGATCCCTGCAGTATGCCATAATACCTTATGGTATGGCTCGTTGAATGAAATATCAGTTCAAAATAATGTGTTGACATAAAATATCCTACAAAAATGGTTTAAAATGCTAAATGAATGCCCAAATTATTATAGACATGGTTATATGCTGTGCTTTAATCGGTACATGAAGAAAACAATTTATGAAGCAGGAAGAAACATTGTAAAAGGAGTGATAAAGTCAGTGTAGGAAGTATTAGATGTTTCTCAAAAATGTAATTTCCAAGGTTGATGGTGATCACTTTATATAAGTTGAATTTATCTTGAAGTAAATTTACTTGAAATGTTTAAAAAAAAGTAAGCTTAGAATGTTTAATAAGGAAACTTAATGTTTAACTTTTAATTGGACTTTCTATTTGTTTGTATACCATGAGAGATGGTAGATGTACTCTAAAATCATTTATAGATGTAGATATCATCGTAACTAGAGGAGGAAATCATTGTGGCCAAATACGTGTTTATAACCTTGTATCCTTTCACATTTTCAATAACTTTTCATCAAGTACTTTCAAGTTTATTACTTAGTAACTATCAAGGACAATGAAATTATGGTATATATTGATATCATTTATATATGAAAGAAAATTATAATACATATTACATACAAAGTAAACATAATTTTTGAATACCTATAGAGCTAACTTAATATAAATAAATCCAACATGGTCTGAGAAAAAGAACATAAGAAAAAGTGCCTTAGAGGATGTACTATGACTGTACAGTCAACTTTACTTGGTTGTGTGAAGTAATGTATATCAGTTACGGTAGATACATTGTCAAAGGCAACGGTTTAAATACTTCAGGGGCGGATCTAGCTTTTTGCCAGGGGGGGGGGGGGGTTTGACCCAGTGGCGGATCCAGGATTTTTCCAAAAATCGTGCCGTTTTACTTTTTTCTTTTCCCCCCCCTTTTTTTTTCTTTCTCACTTGGCCGCCCAAGGGGGGAGGGGGGGGGGGTTTAAACACCCCCAAGCTTGAACACCCCCCCCCCAGATCCGCCCCTGTTCTTAGTTTTGAAACTTACTTTGACTGTGCAATGGACTGCAGTAGGACATCATGGAAGACCATTGTGAGTTGTTTGGAAGGTTTAGCGATGTCGTAAGCCGTCTGTTCTTGACCGTCTTTGATAGATGGATCTACGCCTGATACTAACAAGGCTCTCACTACATCTGCATTACCAAGCTGGGAAAGAAATTAGAGTTTTTTTTAAAAAAATTTATTGATACATTTTATTTCAAATTCAGTAAAAACACACTAAAAAACAGGTTATAAACATTTACAATGTACATATAAAATCAACTTAAATATGTGAAACAAAGTAATAACATTTAAAAACAAATAGTTGGAAAATGAAATAGGGTGTATCAGTAAAAGCCTATGTGGCTTGACAAGTTGATACACCCATTACAAAGAATGAAAAACATTATATAAATTTCAGTGATAACTATAAACTATTTATGCAAATCTCTTACTGTTTTAAAGTTAGAGAAGTGAGATGGGCAATGAGATCTCATAAAATTACTCTTACAAGAAGTGGAGCTAACAGCTTGCATAGATTTTTCATTTTGGCAGCCAACTAAAACTGTCCAATTAAATGAAAATGGAACAATAAATAGAAGAGAGGCCCCACAATGATTGTTAAATTAATCTGATGTATTTGGGTCTCACTCACTCACTCAATGACAGCATGAAGACTCATATCATATCCCCCACCTTCTCTCTCTCCCTCTCTCCTATCATATCCCCACCTTCTCTCTCTCCCTCTCTCATATCATATCCCCACCTTCTCTCTCTCCCTCTCTCCTATCATATCCCCACCTTCTCTCTCTCCCTCTCTCATATCATATCCCCACCTTCTCTCTCTCCCTCTCTCATATCATATCCCCACCTTCTCTCTCTCCCTCTCTCCCATCATACCCCCACCTTCTCTCTCTCTCTCCAATCATATCCCCACCTTCTCTCTCTTTCTCTTCTTTCAGCAAAATAAATGCGTGCTTGTGTGTGCTTTAAGTAAAGTTAAGGCAGCTAGTGATCCTCCTTTTAAACTGATGAATGCTTTTAACATCAATACACAATTACACAATGTACTGCACCTTTCATGTTCTCTGTACACTTTATGAGCTGAGAATATAGTACAATAGTAAGATGATATTTACCCTGCAGATTTACATGCAACTTTCTTGAAGAATTTTGATGCCATGAAATAAGAGTTATAAGATGCCCTCAATATTTTCTACAGCACACTTCAACATGTAAATGTTCCCTAGACAAAACCACTTGTTCAATGGGCCACTCCCTCTCATGATTGCTTTGTACCAAAGCAGCCAACAAACTCCACTCAAATGACCCTTAAAAGCTATTTGCATGGTACCATTCAACATTTTTTTCAAGAGGAAATAACATTAGCTGAATTGTGTGTAAATTGATCTCTGTTCAAAAGAAAAAAGAAAATATTGGGAAGATATGGTGTACAATAGTGGAAAAGGTATAACCTTATTTCCAAAGAGTTAGGGCTACAGTGTATACAAACCCACCCATATATTTGAGTTAAAACAACCTTAAATCTTGATGCTACCAGTATAAAGATCTTATGTATTCCTACTGGTCTTCATCTGAACCTTTTAACATAACAAGGGAAACGCTCTCGGCGGTCTCGCCTGCATAACGCAATTCAATATGATAAACCAGAACGTCAATGACGTAGCGCTCATCCGCATCTCACAACAACAAATATCGTTAATTTTATGTGGTACACTTTTGAACTGGTCAAAAAATAGAAATTTGATGCCCTGGAAGGGACATAATTTCATTTCATTTGCATAAAGTACCATAAATAATCAATGGAGCAAAATCTCACAATTCTGTGTAGAAGTTTATTGTTCCAAATTTAGCTCTACCAGATAAGGCAAAATCGGCAAGAAATGAGGGAAAAGAAGCAATTTTTGTTATTTTTGGAATAAATTTGCATAAATTACCATAATTAATTAATGGAGAACAATTTCAAAATTCTGTGTAGAAATTTTAAATCCCCTCCTAGCCCTATCATATGAAACAATCAGAATCAAAATCGGTTGAAAAATAACGAAGAAGAAGCATTTTGAAAATCTTAATGTTGATGCCACAACAAAGACTAAGTTTGTTGACCTTAAATGGCCTTTGACCTTAACTTAGTGACCTGAAATTCTACTCACATGATTGGGGATGCTTGATTACCCTATAGTCAAAGTTTCATTGACTAAGAACTTATACTTTAAAACAGGCGCGGATCCAGGATTTCTTAGGGGGGGGGGCCCAAATTTGAAATTATGCGAGCCAAATATTGGTACGTAATAGTGACCAACAGTGACGTAATGCGGGGGGGGGGGGGATCGGTGCAGGGAGGGGCGATTCCCCCCCCCCCTCCCTCCTCCGCGAAACGCGGAAGCTTTGACGTTTTATTAAATTATTAGAGAAAGAAGACGATTCGTTGTACCATTCTCGAAAATAATTCTCGTCTGAATTTAATTTTTCCCCTCCCGCGCGGAGCGCGGAAAAAATTTACGATTTATTAAACTATTAGAGAAAGAAGACGATTCGTTGTCGAGTTCTCGACTCTTAATCCTCGTCTGAATTCAGTTTTCCCCCTTCCTCGTGAAGCGTGGAAGCTTTTACGATTCATTAAATCATTAGAGAAAGAAGACGATTCGTTGTACCGTTCTCGACTCTTAATCCTTGTCTAAATTCAGTCTCCCCCCTCCCCCTCTTGCGCGAAGCGCGGAAGCTTTTACGTTTCATTAAGCCATTAAAGATTCGTATTACCGTTCTCGCCTCTTAATCCTCGTCTAAATTTAGGTTCCCCCCCTTCCCGCGCGAAGCGCGGAAGCTTTTAAATTTCCTTAAATCATTAGAGAAAGAAGACGATTCGTTGTACCGTTCTCGAAAATAATTCTCATCGGAATTTAGTACCCCCTCCATCCCGCGCGAAGCGCGGAAGCTTTTACGTTTCATTAAGCCATTAAAGATTCGTATTACCGTTCTCGCCTCTTAATCCTCGTCTGAATTTGGGTTTCCCCTCCCCCCCCCCCCCCTCCCGCGCAAAGCGCGGAAGCTTTTAAATTTCCTTAAATCATTAGAGAAAGAAGACGATTCGTTGTACCGTTTTCGAAAATAATCCTCATCTGAATTTAGATTCTCCCTCCCCCCCTCCTCCCGCGCGAAGCGCGGAAGCTTTTAAGTTTCATTAAATCATTAGAAAAACAAGACGATTCGTTGTACAGTTCTCGACTCTTAATCCTCGTCTGAATTCAGTTTTCCCCCTTCTGCGCGAAGCGTGGAAGCTTTTACGATTCATTAAATCATTAGAGAAAGAAGACGATTCGTTGTACCGTTCTCGACTCTTAATCCTTGTCTTAATTCAGTCTCCCCCCCTCCCCCTCTTGCGCGAAGCGCGGAAGCTTTGACGCTTCATTAAACTATTAAAGAAAGAAGACGATTCATTATTCAGTTCTCGACTCTTAATCCTCGTCTAAATTCAGGTTCCCCCCTCTCGCGCGAAGCGCGGAAGCTTTTAATTTTCATTAAATCATTAGAGAAAGAAGACGATTCGTTGTACCGTTCTCGAAAATAATCCTCATCGGAATTTAGTACCCCCTCCATCCCGCGCGAAGCGCGGAAGCTTTTACGTTTCATTAAGCCATTAAAGATTCGTATTACCGTTCTCGCCTCTTAATCCTCGTCTGAATTTGGGTTTCCCCTCCCCCCCCCCCTCCCGCGCGAAGCGCGGAAGCTTTTAAATTTCCTTAAATCATTAGAGAAAGAAGACGATTCGTTGTACCGTTTTCGAAAATAATCCTCATCTGAATTTAGATTCTCCCTCCCCCCCTCCTCCCGCGCGAAGCGCGGAAGCTTTTAAGTTTCATTAAATCATTAGAAAAACAAGACGATTCGTTGTACAGTTCTCGACTCTTAATCCTCGTCTGAATTCAGTTTTCCCCCTTCTGCGCGAAGCGTGGAAGCTTTTACGATTCATTAAATCATTAGAGAAAGAAGACGATTCGTTGTACCGTTCTCGACTCTTAATCCTTGTCTTAATTCAGTCTCCCCCCCTCCCCCTCTTGCGCGAAGCGCGGAAGCTTTGACGCTTCATTAAACTATTAAAGAAAGAAGACGATTCATTATTCAGTTCTCGACTCTTAATCCTCGTCTAGATTCAGGTTCCCCCCTCTCGCGCGAAGCGCGGAAGCTTTTAATTTTCATTAAATCATTAGAGAAAGAAGACGATTCGTTGTACCGTTCTCGAAAATAATCCTCATCGGAATTTAGTTCCCCCTCCATCCCGCGCGAAGCGCGGAAGCTTTTACGTTTCATTAAGCCATTTAAGATTCGTATTACCGTTCTCGCCTCTGAATCCTCGTCTGAATTCAGGTTCCCCCCTCCCGCGCGAAGCGCGGAAGCTTTGGCGTTTCATAAGATTATGAGAGAAAGAAGATGATTCGTTGTACCGTTCTCCATTTTTAATCCTTGTCTGAATTCAGTCCCCCCCCCTCCCCTCCTGCGCGACGCTGTGACGATTCATTAAATTATTAGAGAAAGAAGCCGATGCGCTGTACCGTTCTCTATACTGTTAATCCTTGTCTGAATTTCAAAGATGTTCTTTGTCTGCTCCTTTTTCTTCCTACGTCCTCTTCCGATTTGGGGGGACCGCCCCCCCTCCCCCCCCCCTGCCTACGCGTCTGCGGTCAGATAAACACATTTTGATACCTTGTCTAACCCGCAAGCGGTCAGATAAGCATTCAGGGGCCCGTCTTAGGGCCCCTGGTGGGGTCGAGGCGGCGGAGCCGGCACTGGAAGCTCAGGGGTTTTAGGCGTTTAATTAAGGTCAGATGAGCATTTTTTTTGTATACCTTATTATTTTGTGACACTGGCAGGTCACTATTTGGCGTGGGGTCCAGGGGGCGGAGCCGCCAAAAACCAGGGGTTTGAGGCATTAAATTACCGTCAGATGATCATCTAAGGGCCCGCCGTAGGGCCCTAGGTGGAATCCAGGGGGCAGAGCCCCCGGAGGCTTAGGGGTTTTAGGCATTAATCACGGTCAGATGGGCATATTTTGATGCCTCATTATTTTTTAACACTGGCAGTTAACTATTCTTTCATTCTTGCTCTCATTCTATATTATTTCTCTTTAATATACTTTTTCAAAAAAGTGGGGGTGGGGGGGGGGGGGGGGGAGCTCGGTGCTCCCGATCCCCGCCGTACCTCGGGCACTGACATGTAGGAATCTCAAGAATCATATTTCTTGCCTGGCTGTTAATTTAGGAATTTGTCATTTTCCAACAAACACATACAAACGTATAATTTACTAAAAAGTGAGGAAAAATCTCGGAAATTATGTCATATCAGCATTATTTGTAATCCACCGTTGTGGAATTAGAAATAAACCACGTTTGAATTTGATTTCCCCCAAGCCCCCCCCCCCCCCCATCGGTACGCCAGTATCTCCTCTTTTCCTTTTTTCTTTCCCTTTCCTTCCTTCTCTCTTATTTTTTGATTGGGGGGAGGGGGGGGGGGGTCAACAGCCTGGGAGGCAAGGCCCTTTCGCCCCCCCCGATCTCCTTTTCCCCCTTTTCTTTTCTTCTTCCTCTTCTTTCTTTCCATTTCTCTCCTCTTTCCCTTTCCCTTCTTTTCCTTTCTTCTCTCTTTTTTTTTTTTTTTTTTTTTTTTTTGCGGGGGGGGGGGGGGGCCAAGGCCCGCTCGGCCCCCCCCCTGGATCCGCGCCTGCTTTAAAAATTATACCAAAAATTCAAAAACTTAACCTTAGGTTAAGTTTTCGATGATGATGCTACAACATAGTCCAAGTCTGTTGACCTGAAATGACCTTTGACCTTGACTTTGTGATCTGAAATTCTACTCACATGATTGGGGATGCTTGATTACCCTATAGTCAAAGTTTCATTGACTAAGAACTTATACTTTAAAAATTATACCAAAAATTCAAAAACTTAACCTTAGGTTAAGTTTTTGATGTTGACGCCGTCGCCGTCGCCGTCGCCGTCGCCGTCGCCGCCGCCGTCACCGGAAAAGCGGCGCCTATGTCTCGCTTTTTGCTACGCAGGCGAGACAAAAAGGGTGGTAGACATTGACCATTAACATGTAGTGCTGGTAGTCTGGTATTACATATTATGATAGAAAGGCAAGCGTCAGTACATCTCTGTGACAAGTCAAACACACAAGGCTTCACAAGCTCATGATCCTTTTTTTTTAAATTAGAGTTAAGATTTCATTAACCAAGAAAAGTCTTTGCATTGAAGGTTCCATTGGGTTTGGAATCGATAATTGAGATCTCAGAATTACTTTGTGTTTTTTTGCCCAAGGGAATTTTTTTTAGCAATTCAATGGCATATAACTTTTGTGAAATATGTAATGTAACATCTTTAATTTTCTTCTACCAAAATAAAAATGACTTAATTATAATCTGATCAGATTTTTTGCATTTAAAAAAAAAATAACAATGCATTTACAGGTACTCAAATTTTACTGTATACCATGAAGTACCAGTATATAACTGTATTAGAAGATATTTTTTTGAAATAATTCCCCCCCCCCCCCAAAAAAAAAAAAAAAAAAAAAATTGTTCATAATGATTTTAATATTCATACAATTAATTTTATTATATTGTTTACAATGTAGTATAATTTTAAGGAAAACTCACCAGTCAATTCAATCAAATAATTCCTTTAAAGCTCCAAAATATAAAGCCACACTGTTGTCTCAGTCGAACACTGACAGATACTGTATACCTTTCAATAATTGAAATACTGTATAGAGAAAGGCATATATATGACTGTACACAAGCCTGGATCAGAAGCAAATGAGGTTGTTGTCTCATTGCCAGGACAATACTATGAATTTTGGTTTAGAAGGGTAGGTACTGATGGTGTCAATACAACCGGCTGAGCATACATGCATGTACAGATTGAACCCATTATTTCACTCTCCTTGTTTTCACTTCAGCTTTTGTTTGGATAGTTATGAATAGAGATTAGCATGGAAGGGAGAGAGTTTATACCAGTTATACAAAAGACTTGTGTACAGATAGGAGTTCTAGAGAACACTAAGGCTTCTTACAATAACTGCCTACGCATAAAAGAAACTTGCTAGGTATTCGTTCATTAGGTCAGAATTCAGTCAGTCTGCAAAGTGGAACCACTTTTATAAAGTGCATTATTTATCAGCCACGATGGCAAACCAATTCCAAATCGACCAATTTTAGGCCATTCTCGGTAATGTGAATGTTGTTGTTTCGTCTTACAAGTCTAGGATCAGTCGTGCTGGTGTGACCAGGGTTTATGCAGTTAAATGTCATGGATTTGGTGACAAATTGAAATCATGCTTTACCCCCCCCCCCCCCCCCCTCCCCCAATGGCATGGTAGAACCAGGATGCTCAGCTAGGTGCTTTCTTTTTACACATTCAAATGCTAACTTTATTGATTTCAATCCAAACAGATAGGATCATTCTCAATGTACATTGGATAACAAATTTCAAAGTTATAGTGTAACATAAGCTAAAATACTTTTTGCCAACACATGTGCTTAGTATGCTATATAATACACTGGTTTTACCATATATTTCTTACTGCAATATCATATGGGCTACTCATAAGTGCAATACTAATCGTATATTACTGTTACAGAAAAAAGCAATTCGAGTTTGTACCGATGCAGGTTATCGCGACCACACTGACCCTTTATTTGCCACATTAAAAACTCTAAAAATAAGTGATATACACTACATGCAAAAATCTGTGTTCATGTTTCGACTTAAATCCGGCAATCTTCCCCAATCACTAGTCATTTTATTCCAACATAATTTTAATTTTCATTCCTACCCAACCAGGCATTCCAATGACTATCACCTATTTAACGCCAAAACAGCCTTAGCTCAAAACTCAATTAGACATTCTGGCCCTGATACCTGGAATGCACTACCCCCTGAAATAAAAACGATGAATACAATGCTATCCTTTAAAAGAGCGGTGAAAAAGTTTCTTATTGCTCATTATCTTTAAATCCATCAACAAAATAAATTCTCCTCGTTTACCCATCGTTACAAAACTCGATAATTTTCTGTACTGTTTACTTTTTTTTGCTTCCATTTATTGAAACGTTGATTATAACCTTCCATGACCTGGTATGAATACACGTATGAATAAAGAGTGGCCTACTTGGGATACTGAATAAACACTGTCTTCTATACAAACATTTCAAGGCTCTGACTCGCAGGCCCAGGTTTAAAACCAGCTGGTTGATCTTACTTTCACATTCTTACTGTCCGAACCTTGAGAGTCTTCTCATTCTATTGTATCCCAAGTTGGCCACTCAGTATTCAAATTTGCATTTCTTTTCTTATTTAGAATCTTTATATATCAATTTGAAATCCAACTACCACATAAGTCTGTGAATATTGATGTGCATCCCCTCTTTCTTTTCTCTTCTTTTTTCTGTCTTTTCCCCTTTTACCAATATTTTGTTCTTCCATATTTGTATTATTATGTATCCTTTGAGGGTAGTCATACTATCAAGCTTTGCTTATTTTGTCAACCCTCCTGTTTGATGTTCTCGATTAGTTAGTTACACCCAGCCTTACCTTATTCTACATATATTCTTTTGTCATGTGTAAATTTGCAATATTTGTTTGTTATATATTTGTAAAAATGCAAAAGAAAAAGAAAATCAAACAGAAATAAATAAATCAAATAAATCAACATTGATAATTAAGTGTAAGAGTAGGGATAACAATAACCAGGAGTGACACAAATTAACATACTAATGATTTTTGCTAGTTATTTTTGCTTTATTTCAGAGTTAGTTGGAGGTATGCATGCCCTGTAATGATTATTAACCTCTTTTTTATAAACTAGATCCCCACCCCCTCCTTTTCCCCTGTCAAAATAACTATAGTACCTACTGTAATCACCATAGAGTAAAAAGTTTCTCTCTAAAATCTCAAACAAATATTCAAATTAATCTATTACATTTACTGGCATCTTTGTTCAAGACAGCTGATGTGGATCAATCCAGGTACTTTAATACCAGAAGCTATGGGAAATGAATGAAACTAATAACATTCCATTCCTGTATATCACATGATACACACTGTACATGAAACTATGATGCCAAGCATATAGAAGGCTAATCATCAGAGAAAGTTATAAATCTAATTAATCTATATGTATAAATCATCTGAATGTCATCATATAGGCCTACGTGTAGTAACTTCAAGGATCCATTCAGATTTGAATGACAAGAGGTCTTGTTTTACAAAGTAACGGACACAGTGAACATGTGATTTATACCCTGCACATTTCTCTACTACATGTATACAATCTGATCATTATGTGTAGAAACTTTACACATTCTCTGTCCCAACCCCACCAATCTATTCAGTTTCCATTAAAACAAAAATGTACATACAGGACATATTTGTACAAAGGATGTCAACTTTGTCAAGGACATCATTTTGCATTTAGCCATACTACATTCACACAATCAAATCTAGTTACTGTAAGTGTGAATAGCTTTTAAATGGGAATAGGTTGTTTTTAAAAAGTCTTATTTGTATAAACAAGAAAAAGACTCCTGTTCAACACCCTTACCATGCAAGTAAAGCAAAATTGGCATAATTCCCACAGCTGTTATTGTTTGTTTTGTCTGTCATGTATGTGCCTCCATATTTTAGAAGGCCATGCATGGCAGGTCATGCTTGTTGTTTAAGTCAAATATAATGCCTAGTGTCTGTGTGATGTACAAATATAGCCTCGTACGTACATTTACATTTAACAAAATGTATGAATACCTTAGCAGCTAGATGCAGCATATTTCCATGTTCTGGGGTGACAGAATTCAAAGCATCCAATAGTTTGATATCCATCTTAGAGCTATGAAGACCTATTTTTAAAAATTCAAAGAAATTAAGAAGAATAAGATATGATTTAGATATCACAATCATAATATTGCCAATGGCTGTGATTAAGAAAACAGTGGTCATTAGTATGATATTTTGTAACAATCTTCATTTTCACAGTTTAAGAGTACTATTAAAGGAATATCGAGAATATAGAAAATAATACAGAGCACACAACTCTATAACTAAAGAATTATTTACAACGTTTAATAATCAATAGTTCCTCTTTCATCATCATGCAAATTTTTGTGAAAGCTAGTCAGACTTTTTAAACACAGATCTCAATAATTCACTGATCACGACAGAGTTCTTAGTATATATGTATAAGAAATGTTATATGTTCCTGCCATTACCTAACTAAGACGATTGCTGATAAAACAGTGAATACATACATACCACCACTCACACACTGTAGCTAGAGAGACTGATCTTAACTACAATCAGAATCAGCATACAGTGTATAAGTGGAGGGAGTCTTTTCAACGGTACAGTCAGTGAACAAAATGAAAGGGTAATGACACGTGGCTACCACACAACAAGTGGGTGGGGTTGGGAAACCAGTAGGGCGTGTTATCACTATCTAAACTCTACAAAAATCCAAAAGACAGCCCAAGATAACTCAGGCTGGAGTCAATGGACAAAACACCTTGCACTTAAATAAAATAATATTAAACTGTTACAAATAAAACCATCAGACATCAAATAAAACTAACAAACAAACATGATGAATGCAACTGCATCTCTAATATGCCTCTGCCTACATTTTATACGTTCATTCAATAAATGATCCTATGACCCTAAGGATCTGACCTCATAAACACAAACTCTTTTCATTTAATCTTTTCATGCTCGTATACATGCACTTGAGCCCAGTTAGGTCAACATTTGCTAAGTTATCACAGAAATACAGAATAGGATATTTTCTGGAAATATTAACACTTTAATGACCCTGTTCTCACTCACTTCCTAGACTGATTCAGGCTAGACCGATCTACATGTAGGCTAGATCGGTCTAACTGTGAGTGTGAACATAAACAGTGCCGGGAAACGATCTTCAACCTGAAGTGAGTGTGTTTTTGGCGGGAGGGTAATAAAAGAGAAAAGGAGATTACAGTACACAAATAAAAACAGAGAATATAATATAAGGAAAGATAGAGAGAAAATGATAGAATGATAAAAACAATGAATAACGTGAGAGAAGGTGATAGAAGGAAGAAACAAAGAATAACATAAGGAAAGACAGAGAGAGAAAATGATAAATAATAACAAATTAAAAGATAGAAAAGAAGATGAAAGATGGAAAAACAAAGAATAACATTAGAAATACAGAAAAAGAAAATGATAGAATATCAAAAAATAACAGAATATAGCAGAAGATGAGGCACTCTATTTGGTTTTAAATTCCGCGCGAAACAATGGACCTTTGCTACCCAAGCAACAGGAGCTGTCTAGATCATTCGGGGTATACCATACATGTAGCAACAAGAGTGGTCTAGCTTGTGCAGTGTGAACATAAATGTGGCGTACCTCTGGAGTGATCCAATGGATCGGTCTAGCCTAGATCGGTCGAGGAAGTGAGTGAGAACTGGGTCTAATATGTACAACCAAAATCAAATCAGTTAATCTTTATATGCTCTATCATGTACTTCATAGTCATACAACTTTGGTTTGATTTGTATCAATGCATCGTAATAAGTTGATAATTTTACTAGTATCTTTTAACACTTTATGATCATTGAACTTTGACCTTTGTACTTCAACAACCAATTTTTAATTAATTCATCCTTGCATGCTCTGCATTCTTGATCCAAATTTAGTTGAGTTAGAAAGGGAAAAAAGTTCATTAATATATTTTAGATTACTTTTATAAAGTCTCGATCTAAACTGTTCATGTATCATAAGTCCATAACACACTTCATCCACGTTGGTTTAAATTGATTCAATGCTTTTCAATTTATCATGGTAACAATACAATGTCTGGTATCTTTAAACACTATTGTGATATTGTGACCTTTGACCTCTTGCACCCAAAATCTAATCAGTTCATTATTGCATGCTCGAACATACTTGATCCGAGTTTGGTCGAGTCATATGCTTTTCACACTGGTAAAATTGTGCTTAGCCCCAGACTATAGGTGGGGCTAAAGGGGGGGGGGGGGGTCTCAGCCCCACCTTTAGTCCTGGGTTAAGCTTAGCCCACTCTCTGCTAAGACACAAATTTACCAAAGAGGGCTAGCCCCACCTTAGGTACGTGGTTAGTTGGCCCTGCAAAAGAGCAAGGCTAACTCTGCAATTGCGGTGCTAACATGAATATTCTTATCCCGG